CAAGTCCGCAAGCCAGGCACCCAAAAAGCTCCGCACAGACGGAGCCTCACTCGACGGAAGTGATTAAATTCTTTAAAGCTGGCTAGGCTTTAGGGCTTGCGGGCTAAAACTTTGCCGGCCGACTTCCCGAGCCCAGATGCAAAAAGGGTTTAAGCATTTTAAGCTCTCCCACTGGAGCCCTGATATCCAAAGCTTTGCGCTTCGCTCACACTGTCAGCAAGTCCATAGAAGCTTCAAGGGTTGAGCAAGCCTTAAAACCCTGCAAACCTCAAACCCTGAACCCTAAACCCTAGGCCCCCTTAAACCCTCCTAAGCCCCCTTTAAAGCAAACCCTTCAAGGATGCTCTAACTATAACAAGGAACCCCCAAATTAGTACTGGTAATTATTTACAGTAGGCCCCTATCAATAACTACGGTCCGTTGAATCACATGCGCCATGCCGAGCAAGAAGGCGGCCTGCCCCCTTCTCTTACCTCTGGTTAGTAGGGAATGGAGGAATGGGGTACAAGTATAACTACTATTACTACCATTCTTCCATTCCCTACTAACCAAAGGTAAGTTCTGTGCGGGCTTGTGGAGATGGGGCTGAGGGAGGGGCTTGGAACAAGGGTGTTCTAGGCTTTTGTAGGGTGTTATCGGGCTTGGTAGGGTTTTGTAGGGTTTGTTTGGTAGGGTAGTAGGGTTGTATAGGGTTTTATGGGCTAAGGGGCTTTATGCAAACAGCTAGCAGCGGTAGAGGCGCGTAGCAGTAGCAATTAAAGGCCATGCCATGCTGGTGCCGTAGCCTATGATGGATCATGCGGGACTCGTATGGCAATAACGACGAGGCAGAACAGTGCCACCACTCATCGCGAGGAAAACCACCAAGATAGTCGCCGTCGTTATCATCATCACGTCACCGTCGTACTCATGACCACCCTCAGTATGGGCATACTCAGTCTTCCGGCACGCACAACGCCGTGCTGCGTTCGTGGCTTTCCATACATCACATATATATATATATATATATATATACATATATATATATATATATGCACACTGTGTCTCATATCATGCTGTTTGCGCCGTTGCACAACCCGAAACCTAGGCCGAACTACTAATAAAGGCTCTAGACCCTACACATGAGACGACAGTTCGAACAATCATCCTAAACCCGAAGCCCTGAACCCGAAGCTTCAGGCAAAACCTTAGCATCCTAACACCCGGCGCCCTGAGCCCTGAACCGCAAACCCAAACAGGGACGCGGTCCCACACTCCATGCCGCCAAAGCCAAGACCGATTCAGCGTGGGCCTTACACCGAGGGGCCACGTTTAGGGCTTAGGAGAACAAGAACCCGAGATAAAGTCCTTGCAAAGAAGTGCAGTTTACGGGGCTTAGGCTGAGGTGGTACAGTCCCTACAGAACCGTATATGTCCTGACACATTGAATTCAACCAGAGGGTTATGAGGGTGGCAGAATGGCACGTGGAAGAAGCATATCTGCCGTGTAGCTTTTTGGAATAGTAGTTCTTCATATAGAGACCCTACATTCTACTATACTGGTACTGTGGACTTTTTGGGTAAAGCAGCTGGTAGAGGCTGAAACCATTCGGCCGAGCTTGGGTGCACAGTGAAACTTTGAACCTGAGCCGCCTGCCCCAAAATCCTAAACGCTTAACCTAGCCCCTAAACTCCTAAACCTAAACTCTCCAAACCCTTGAAGTAAGCTTCAAGAGTGACCCCTATAGACCTACTTGGAGGTTCATGGGCAGTTGTAAGTAGGGTTATAAGTAGGATAACTATAGCTATAACCCATATTAAGGGACTTATAGCCCCACTCATAACTACCCATGAACCTCGAAGTAGAGCCCCCCTAAAAGAGCACCGTTCCCCCGCCCGTCGCAGCTTCGGGAAGCGGGTCGGGGTCTCCTGGAGAAGCTCGAGGACCAGGCGCCTTATCCTTGGTTTAGGGTTTTGGAGTAAGGGGGGTAACCATGTCCAACAAAAGGGTTTAAGGTTTCGCGTTTAAGGTTTAGGGTTTACGGTTTAGGATTAAAGGGTGTTTAGGGTTTAGGGTGTAGGTGGCATGGTTTAGGGTGTTTGGCAGTGCTGCTTCCCAGCTGATCGGCAGAGTCTGGGTTCAGACAGGGTTCAAGGGTGGGGGGGGTTCAAGATGTAGGGCATACGCTCCAAGTCCGTGCTCAAAAGGGCTGACAGGGTTTAGGGTGCAGGGCTGATAGGGTTCAGGGTGTGGGGCTGATTGAGTTTAGGGTTTCAGGGGTTCAGGATTCATGAAGTTTCTCAGTTGCAGGGTAGGTAACCTTCCACAAGAATCTCTGTCAATATTAAGTTTCAATTCCCCTTGGATACGGGACAAGTATGTATCGTAAGGGTTTTGTATTGGGGATGTCCTGAACCCAGACACATACAATCTAGAGGTGTGTATACTAGAACTCCTCAACCCTGCAGTTCCGGGTTTGTGGCTTATAACATAGGGCAGCGAGGTTAGTGAATTTATACACCATCGGGCAAACAAAGGGCAAACAACTACAGCAGGTGCGAAGCCTGACGCAGATCGCGGATGAGAACCTCGAGCAGGGGCTGCGCAAGCCTGAGATTGCCCTACTTTCGGTTTGGGGTGTAGACTACCAGAGTATGGGGCTTACGGTTTAGTGCATAGGGTTTGAGGCCTCGGGTGGTTTAGGGCTGAGGGGTGCTATTCGAAGCTTTTTTTCTTTTTTGTTTTGAGGGGGATCAGAGGATTTGCTTGCTCTAAATACAATTTGTGGCGATTGAAGCCAGCAGCTCAGGATCTAGGATTAAGAGTCTCAGAAAATGTGAGGGCCAAGTGATCTATCTAAAGCACGAGGATCCTTAGTAGCAGGATCCCCAAACAGGCAGCTTCATGCTAACCAGCCTCATTCACGCTGACCTCTAATGTCTACTAGAGGAGAACCCACTGAAAAGCAAGATCATGGCACTGGGCAGAACTGTTGGCGCCAGCTTCGATTCAAATTCCCGAACTAGGGAGCATGCAACAGAAGAGAAAGCTAGCTATCTACCTATATCAGAGTTGCAATGTCGCGTAGCTGAGAAAGTGTTGGAGTTTCCAGAACACCCCCTAGAAAATGCTTCTGAGCCTTCTGCCCCGCAAGGCCATAGACCTTGCGAGCTCGAGACCCCAAGAACCGTAAAGCCCTGACAGGCCCTCAAAGCTTCAAAGCCCTGACAGGCCCTCAAAGCACTAAACCCGAAAAGCTTTTGAAGTCTACCCCAAGGCCTACTGCGGTTGACGGCTCGCTAAGCCCGAACACACTTTGCCAGGCTGGGCCACTATGCAGAGGCCATGAAGATGCGGAACAGTGCTGAGCAGACACTGAAGGACTGCAGCTACTATTATTGTTTAAGGTTTAAAGAGTGGCTGCTCAGTACTGAGCTCCCTTTAAATTGTGCTGAGCCATAGTTGTGCTGAGCAATATGCCCGCATTTCCCAATCTTGTCTCCAGTGTCTTAGCCACCAGTCTTTCTCGAGTCGAGGCTGTCGCGCTCCTTCGAAAATACGAGTCCAGATTGCGGAGCCCAAGTTATTCAACCGACTTGCAAACATGGCATAAGAAACCCATCTAAACCCTGAGGTTCAAATTAGAGTTAAAGCCTTGAGCCTTGAGCCCTAAATCCCACGCCCAAGAAACAGGATCTGAGACGAAAGCTGGGCTTGCCCGACCTGGAAGGCGTTGCCAACGTGTTGACACTCAAGCTAGGGTGACGGGGTCCGAGTCTTCAGGGGCTTCAGTGAAACAAATGCCAGGTTCTGTAATGGTCCTAACAGAATTTTTATGCGGGTACCTTATTCAGGAGTCCTCATACTAGGGATCGTATTGCTGAAGAAGCTCACATCTCTTGACTCTGGGAGTGAGTCAGAGTCTTCAATTCTGGGTCCGGTTTCTGGGGTTTCGGATACGTCTGCATAGAGTTTCGCATCGAGGTAAGATGCTAGCGATTCACTCTAACCTTCTCTTTTGACAACCCAGAACAACAGTTGGTAACAATCATACTCAAAATATTCATAGTTATGCTTCCGCGATTGCTCTGAACCCAGAGCACCGAAACTGCAAGCTTTTCAAGCCGGTTCCAGTCCCGAACTGGATGGGTTTGAATAGTTACCGGGACTATTCCCTGGCATGCCTTACTATTCTTATGCTAAAGTACGCCCCAAACCCTAGTCCCTTGAGGCCCCTACACCGCAAACCCAAACCCCCCGGCGTGGCAGTGCTCTAGGCCAATATTTCTGAACCATCTTCTCATGGAGCCCGATCCTGCGTTCAACAGCTTCAGAGCTATAGCTGTAAGTTTAAACTCGGGAGTACATGTGCGTTCGAAGAATCTTTGGGCCCTGACCGTGAACTAGCAGACTCCGAAGACCACGAGTGAGTTTTGGAATTCCCAAAGTCGGCTGACCCTTCACCGCGAGCTTTCAGCAACATTTCAACCACAGAGCTGACACCAGGTGCCGAGACGGATGGCCTTTGCGACGCCAAGCCCAGGACGCAGACCCAGACCGTGCTTTCACCAAGTTTGGGGTGGAGGTGGGTGGGGGGTTTCGGTCGGGAGCCCGAGTGGGGCTTCGGATTTGGTTATGATTCATCTTTCCACGCTTGCGCTTCTCGATCTCATGAGGGCGTGTTGATTATCCGGCCCAAGCCCAGTACAGAACCTGCTGCCGACCAGTCTTAGTACTTCACCTTTGGACGTGGCATGGCTGCAACAAGCTGCAGAGGCCCAAACCTTTAGCTGTCAGTGACTGCAAACACATTTTCGTCAGGTAAGCAGAGGGTCCAGCATGCGGTCATCAACAGCGGCACAACCAAGCTTGCCGAGTGATGCAGATTCAGATGTGCACCTTTGCTGCGGATTATTTGCGCACTTCATGTGCGTTTTGTGAAGTCCTTCAGAGCTAGCACTGACGGTAGCTCTCTTGTCAGTCGACAGTTGAGTGCAGTGGGGCATCCCATGAGCCGGCAATGGCTGCAGACCCGCCCAAGGCAGACAGACTCCAGCTATCTGGTGGTGGGGACAGACGTGCGGGTGGATTTCCGTTTGCCTGATGGCCAGGCCATTTCCAGCATACTGCAGGAACGCAAGATTTCATGGGGGCTGGAGGCCTGTCCTTAGACAAAGAGTTTTGCAATCAGGTGCATAAGAAGATGTTCGCCACGCTGCCCAACTACACGATGCTTTGGGGAGAGGTGCGCGAGCGGACGGGAAACGACTCCTTTAGCATTTCGCTGGACGACGTGAGGCCTCAAACAGTGAAGCACCGATCCGCTGTAAAGTTCTGACTGCAGAGTAGGTGAGCCCTGCTGTGGCTTTTGCAGGCTGACAAACACGAACACCATCTCCCAGCTCCGAGCGGTCGTGCGTGAGCAAGAAGATCAGCCCGCGGTGCAGCTAGTGGTGGCCGAGCTGCCGGATCACGAGGCCGCAGGAGAGGTTGAACCACGCGAGCAGCCGCGTGACGCTCCAGTGCGAACGCTTCTAACAGCGACAGCGGCAGTTGGAGCTTTGCTTGGAGGAGTTGGAGCTTTTTTGTATCGGAAGGTCCGGCACCTGGAGGCAACCCACCATGCGCTTACTCAACAGCTTGCCACATCCGAGACAGAGACAAAAGCCCTGCAGCAAGAGGTTCATCGAAAGGCAGACAATGAACGTGCTCTACATCAACAGCTTGCCGCATCCAAGACTCGTTCAAATGCGCTGCAGCAAGAGGTTCATCGGAAGACACAAAATGAGAAATCCTTGTCTGAGAAGCTTACAGCAGCTAATGGCGAAAAGGATGTCAAAGAGGGCATGATCAAAGAGTTGGTCAAGCAACAGCATCTTGATTGCAATGCTCCATATTTTCCTAGTGACTTGTTGCTGATCAGAACTCAACAGCTGCAAAAGTCACTTGTGTGTCCCTGTCCGGCAGGAGAACCAACTCTCTTACGAAGAGAGTGAAACGTTACCAGGAGGTAGACCTGCTGTTCGTCGTTGACTGTACAGGGTCTATGCAACCATACATTGATGCGGTGAAGACTTCGATACGCTCAATGGTACAGCGGCTCCTCACCGCCTATCCGCAGTTGAACCTCCAACTGGGGTTTCTGGGCTATCGCGACGTTGGGGACCAGCAGCAGTTTCAGATCCTTGACTTTACGCAAAGCCATGCAACCTTCGAGGGGTTCGTGGCGAAGATGACAGCAGATGGGGGGGCAGATGCGGCTGAAGACGTTGCTGGTGCACTTCGGCGTGTGGCTGACTTCAAGTGGACCAAGCACCTGGAGCACCTATTGGACTCGCTTTCCTTTCCTTTCATCTACTGTTCCAAGCATTCGTTTATGTTCCGTTTCTCGGTTTTCTACAGAAAGCATTTCACACGGTCTGTCCGCATCAGTGTCTGCCGATGGCGATTATGGATGTATGCTTGGATGACGCTGTTGTTGCTTCCTTTACCTTGCTACTGAGCCTGTCTTGATATGAATTTGGCGTTGTTATTGCTGCACTTTTCTTTCCGAAGAACTGTCCATAACGGCTGAACCCGCTGTAGACAGTGCAGACGTGGGACGTGCCAAAGCGTCTGATGCACCATCCTTTCATGTGAGTTTGGATCGTAGGTTTACCCGTGTGCGGAGGATTTTTGGAACACGAACTGGCACGTTTCCTACCCGGAGCGCCTTCTAACGAGTGGCATGATTCCGTCGCACGAAGCGGGAAGCGACATTTCACGCGATTGATTGAAGCTTGTACTTGTGAGTGTGTTATTTGGTTGTTAAGCCCCATTCGACATGTAAATGTCGAACGACATGTTTCCTTACACGAGACATGTCGGACAGAAAGGTTGCCGGGAGTGCGTGCCAGTGACGTATTTGAAGATAAAGACTTTCGTATGTGTGTCCGGGCCAAGTCTTCCACCCCACGTCTCGATTCTTGGTCTTGTCGCCCGTTGCAAGAAGTGATTTCAGGGACAGACTAAGTTGCATGTGCCTGGTGTGCGATGCATTTGAGCTGTGTGCTGTTCTGCAGGGCAAGGGACGGTATTGTCTTTGCATGCGGTGGGCTTGGCAACACAACGAGTGGCGACATTCCTGCGCAGGAAGTGGTTCGGTACAGACGAAGTTTGAAATGTCCCACACCCAAAGCCTCTCTTCTTTGTACCCAGAACTGAAGAAGGGTCACTTGGCCTGCACGCACAAGGAGTTTCTGAGCAGAAGATAGAAGTTGAAGTTTTCCGGCGCGAATCATTTCGGAACGACCATAGGACCAAAGCTCTCCTGCCTGCCAAATGCGACATGGTCATTGTGTTGAGAGTGCCAATTGGGGCAACCACTTCATGGTGTCCAGAAATCATATATTTCGGTGAGTCTGGAGTGATGTCGGCGTGATCGTCAGAGTGATCTTGGAGTGATCACAAATGCGACCGTGCGAATTTCAAGGAATCGCAATCTAAGGAATCATCTCTGAGCGAGTGACACACGAGATCATGCCAGCCGCTGTTGTTGTTAATGTTATTGTTCTTGTTGTGTGTCTTCTTGTTCTTGTTGTTCTTCTCGTTCTTCTTCTTCCTCTTCTTCTTGCTGGTGCTGGTGCCGGTGCCGGTGGTGGTGCTGATGCTGATGCTGGTGCGTGTGTTGTTGCTGTTGCTGGTGTTGAGTTGCTGTTGCTGTTGCTGTTGATTGTCGTTGCTGCTGCTACCTTTGCTGCTGCTGCAGATGCGGTTGTTGTTGTTGTTGTTGCTGTTGCATTTGCTTTTGCTATTGCCGTTGCTGTTGCTGTTGTTGTTGTTGTTGCTGCTGCTGCTTTTGCTATTGCTGTTGCTGCTGGTGCTTGTGCTGGTGCCGCTGCTGTTGGTGTTTTTTGCTGCTGTTGTTGATGTGGCTGTTGTTGTGACGGTGTTGATAATGATGGTTCTGAAGCTGCTCATGATGGCATTGATGACAGTGATGATGATAGTGGTGACGATGACGATGAGGATGTTGATCATGGGAGGAGGATGACAATGTTGATGGTGACGACGATACTCCGCCTGGGGATAAACATGACGATGGTGTTGACGACGACGATGATTGCGGTATGATGATGATGATGATGACAGGCATAATTTTGAGGGCGACTTCTGATGACGATCGTTTTATGCACGGGGTCGTTTCTCCGACGCAGCCTACCACAATTCAATTTTCAACACATCCACCCCTACTTCTACTATAGCTGCGGTCGTGTTTTGTTGTTTTTTATCATGACGTGGATGGCTGAAGGCCATAGCACGCAGACAAACAGGTCAAAGTTTGAAACTGGGCAGGTTGCTACATGTGATCTGGTTTTAGCTTTCTGCCTTGGATTCGTTACAAGCTTGATCAAGGCACGTGCGGGTGCTGTTCCACATTGCCGATGCTCCCTGCCATGGTCGCGAATACCACCAAGGTGTATCAGACGATTTTCCAGATGGAGTGGGAGTCTCGATCCCTGAGCAGTTGATGAAGTTGCGCTCTCTGAAGATCGATTACTATTTCGGACGAATTAAAGGGCTTACAGACCAAATGATCACGGCTTTCAACCAGCATGTCAAACAGTCGTGTGGCACCGATCCATACATCAAGACGGTGGGCATTGAGCACCCTCTTGACGTGGAGGAGGCAGTGGTGGAGTCAGTATGTACATCGATTGATGTGGCAAGTCTCGCAGCACACGAGAAGTCGGAGAAGAAAGTGGTCAAATTGGAGACGGAGATGGTTCTCTCATCGGAAAAACCCGAGTGGCATCTCTTGGAATCTCAGGAGCCACGTCGTGGTCGACGAATTTCTTTCGAAGTCCCGACAAGCATTGCTGCCTGCCTCCTTGTCCGTGAGACTTCTGCGAGCACAGTGGAAGTTGATTTCGTGGTGCATGCCGTGCGCTTCGCTGCAGGTATGAGCCGCCTCTGCCACTGGGGCAGTTACCGCACAGGGGCGGCGAGCGGGGCTTGGAGCCGCGTTGTGTTTAAGCAGTTCCTGCGTAAGCAGACACATTCTGGCCCCGGCTGCAGCGACGAAGAGGAGGGGAAGTGGAAAAATCCGTAGTTGCGGAATTCTTCGCCCAAAGTTTCAATCGCTCTTGCAAGCCACAGCACAAGATCCGCTTCCTGCTGCCCGAGATCATAGAGGACAAAAGAACAATGGAGGACAAATACATGGTGGAGCCTGTGCTTGCCGTCGAGCAATTTACCAAGTTCAACGACAACAAGGGTTTTTGGAACACGAAAGCATTCCATCCCACTCTTGGAGACTTCTGCAAGTGGACCTACGACTTCTCGGAAGGCAAGTTCATGGTGGTGGATCTGCAGGGAGTGCTAAACGAGGATGGCTTCACATTGACTGATCCAGCATCCAGACAGCAGTCAGGAGCCAGGAGTCTGCAGTGTAACAGTATGCTGACCATGTTTTGGGGGTGTGTGAGCGAACTCAGGCTGTGTTGCACACGGACCTCAAGAAATTCGGCAACACCAACACGGGGCCTCAGTTCATGGAAGAAACGCTGAAGAGTATTCCCAAGCTTTCGTCTCGGCTCTAGCTCCTAGTGCAGCTCCGAGAAGTTTTGTCTCGAGAATCAGGATTGAGGCAGACCTGACTTCTAGTCACAGTCTACAGATTTACTCGCGGCTGGAAGCCCTCTTCGCACATGTTCCACAGCAAGTTGCGTGACCATGTGGTCAATGTAACCACTTGTAGTTTGCATGATGGCCACAGAACCGATTAGCGGCGAGAGCCCTAGCCAAAGCCGCCAATACCGCATCAGCATAGCCCGAGCGGCGGAAAACTTTGAGCCTTGGCCTTTCGGCTTCTCTACCAACTACTGGTTCTTTTCCACGGCACGCTATCTTAGATCGTAGTTGTGAGTTTGCAGTCCCGGCCGCTCGTCTTAATTTAGGTGACTGTGGTTTTCCAAGAGTTCCTCGAGGCTACGTGTGCACATGAAGTACGAATGTAAATCTGATGCCTGGCAGAACGAATGAAATGCCTCTCTGCAGCCAGTGACCGGCGACAAGCATGCAGTTGGCAAGGCTTCACAATCAGGCCGGTACAAAGCAGGCCTCGGCGAATAATCCCGAAAGCCAACGACAGATTAGGGTTTTCTGCTCACGTGAATTTTTTTACGCAGGAAACCTAGATGTGGTATGAGACCTTGAAACTTTTCTAGCCTCGCAGCCTCTAGCAGCAAACCTGTGCTGTAAGCGGCCCCAGTCCAAGGTCGCAGGAAGCGAAACCTCAGCCGCAGACAGAGACGTTTGGCTTCACTTTAGATCTATTTTGGGATTGAGCCGGCCAGTAATAGTACCCTGGACTGGTAGTCTCGCTTTCAGACTGAACGGCTCTAGGATTCTAGGATGTTGGTTGAGTTTAGGAGGTGTAGGGATATATGAGGGTGAGTTAGGATGGTCGCCCAGTTTCGCCCTAGTCGTAGCCCCCTGTCGAGATAAAATAGTAGGAAAGGCTACATTGAAGCGTATCTCGAGGGCAAACTGTGGGGCTAAGACAAGTACGTAACCCTGGGTCTTAACGGCAAGAATATGGACCTGGGGAGTGTTGGAACCAGTGTTTCGGTGGATCCCTTTTGCTTTGGGTCTATATTGTTTCTTATCTAGGGAGTGGTCCGGACATGCCCGCATAGCGGGTTGCGGTATGTTTGGTTTTTACGAGCTGCTGCGTTCACTTTTTGAGTTTGGGGCTTCACCCGCAAAGTTCCCAAGTCTTAGGAGGGAGCGGGTTCACCCGCTTGAACCACCAAAGCTCTCAAGCTACAGCGCCTCAAGTTGGTTTAGCAGTAAGTCCCGAAGCCTGAACCCCAAACGGAATTTCGCTCTCCGGAGATGCTACTTCCGAAAACCCTGATCAAGCCAACAAACCCGGAGCCCACAACACCCAAGGCCGGTGAAATTCTTCCCTCAGCGCAAACACGCTTCATGACGGGAGATTCGGAAGGGGCAGAGCTAATACCCCATAGCCATAGCACGCAGTAAAACTATGTACTTTAAAGCCCTGCAGGACAATATGCAACTGCGGTTTAGGGCTTCAGCCTTCGTTGTCTTGAGGGTCCTACGGAATTAAAATCTTGTAGAGCCAGGATAAACTGGCGAACCGAAAACGAGCCAAGCCTAAACTCCCGCCGGGTGATGGCGAGGGCTCTCGGGTTGGGGTTTGCTTTTCTCTAGGTTTGGGGCATGTTTTTGTTGGCCTGCGGATCCAAGCTGGCAGGAGAGTCCAACTCGAGTCAATCCCAGGAGGATCCATAGATCATATCAAGGGTTTTCCGGGCGCAAACTTTACATGGAGGTTAGAGACACTCCACATTCCACATTACAGGGGCATTGAGATCTCTAGGTCATGAGATTTTGATGCTTATCCAGGCCCAAAGCTGAGCTGGCGAGTGCCAAAGTGCAGGAAGGCACCCCGAGTGAGGCCGGTGCAACTCCTGCGACCACGTTACCCGAAATGCTGAGCATGAAATCCAGCGACCTGTGTATGTGCATACTTGGACACACACATACATATATACCGACAACAAGACATGAGCTTATGCTTTTATATGTGTGCACAGATACACATACATGGATGGGTGGGTGGGTGGGTGGGTGGATGGATGGATGGATGGATGAATGGATAGATGCATGGATTGATGGGTCGTTGGGTAGGCCGATCGGTGGATAGGTAGAGGTAAGTGGGTAGATCGATAGGTAGATATGCAGGTAGATTTCGAGATTGATATGGAGACAGATATATAGATCGATTGAGTGTATGCTCATCATCCGGTTGCGGCACCGCAGCGACTGATATTCAATCAAGAACACACTGCGCCGTCCTTCAGCCGAGTGGCCCGACAGCCCAACCCCGGTCGATTTCAAGAGTTTCTTCATCTTCATCCCTCTAAGCCGTCCACTCTTGCCTGGACTTTCCCGTTAATTGGAAGGCTGGGTTCTGATCTAAGTTACATAGTGGGGATACCACCCTATAGTAAAGTTCCTTGCGAAGGATCCAGTCAAGGCAAAACCCAAATTGGCAGTGCCAGGAGGCCCAGCTGCTCCCTCCTGCGAGTGCCACGCAGGACTCGATAACCTGCTTCCGAGTTTGAGGTCGTAAGTGCAGGGTTAAGGGTGGTCTTAGGGTTTAGGGGTAGAGGATTTATGGTTTGCCTAATATTGCGCTTCGCACTGAAAGACATGTTACGCAAATGAGTGCAAGGTCCCGACCGTCGAAGCCCTTTCTTTAACATGTGCATCCACCCGGCGCATCTACATACGTCGGTCGCTAAGTGCCTTTTAGAGTTTGTTAAGCTCAAGCATGGGTGGTGCCGGCACAGCTTGAATGGGTTTGAACGGGGCAACGCCAACGAAAATACCCGTTCGGTTGAGGGGCTTTGGGTTGAGGGCTGAAGGCAGCAGGGCCCCGTTTCTGGCCCGGATTGTAAGAGCGGCTCAATCTTTTAATCTTTGTAGGCCCCAGCTGGGTTTGTGAGTTCATGAGACCAAGCCAGACAGCCCAAACGAAGAGAACTGCGCCCCAGATTCATTGATGCAAAGAGCAGTAACACGACAGAAGTTTGGGGTCAGGCTGTAGGGCGCCTGATATCCGGAAGGCTTAAGGCCATAAGTGTGGATTTTCTTTCACGAGCCTGATAACCCGAACACTTGTATGAGGCCATCGGTTGTTGTGATGGAGCTGGCCTGGGCATGGGGATGAATGTATCTCTTGTTTCCTAAGAAGAGAAGCAGATTTGAGAAAGCTGTAAAACGAAGTAGCCGACTTGCTTCGATGAGGGAGGCTGTTCGATCCAGGGTTTCGGGATCTGAGGGCCTACGTCCGAGGTCTCAGACCTTGCAAGCCTTGCCGGGAAACTCGCACAAGGAAGCTTCGATCCCGGAAAGCCCGGTGTTCCACGGAGTCTGTGTCCCGCGGAGGAGCAGCAGGAGACATCAGAGGAACGACCTCCAGTGCAAGCCGAAGGCGCTTGAAGCTACTGAATCAACTTAGGTTCTGCCATACTAAGTTATACTGAGTGTATGTTATCTTTTAAGGTGTTATCACATTTTATGTTATGTTGTCGTATGTCCTATGATTTTACATTGTCTTGAGTTGTATTATGTTAGTTTGTATAATACGGTCGTACGTCACTTTAACGTACATTATGTAGCATATTGTATTTGCCTTCTTGTGCTTCGAAGAACAAGATGACACATGTGTTGTTGTCCAACCCTGGCGAGATTGGTTGCAATATTAACAGCAGTCGATTTGTGCAACAGCTCGCTGGCGGTGGCACGGCCCATATGAATTTGTGTAGGCTTGGCGCTTGCCCCAGACGTCGACTGTCTTGTTGTCATGCCAGCGCTTGATAAGATTCCAGACGCATCAGACGGCCTGGGCCTAGTTTTGTATTGCGTCGGAAAACCCTAAAGCCTACACCCTGATTGCAGCCACCTCTCAGCCCTCTGCAGGACGAGTTGCATCTCCGCTGATGCCCAGAGCCTAAGGAGTGCTCTGTCTTCTATGCCCCAAGAGAACCACAAGAAGGCAATATCAGGCTAACCGCAAGCCTGTGCAGCGTTTTCGCAAGTTGAGGGTGATTTTGCAAGGATCCCATCGATTGGAAATCTATACACGCGTGCTGGTTCAGGAAAGGTGCTACTTTGGCAAGGGTAAGGTTACAGAATGCCGAGCAGCTGCGAAATCAAAGAGGAGCTGGTTCCGAATGCGCCAGCTTTCTAGCTTGATAGATAAGACAGAAAACGATTCGGCAGCATTCTCTCTTTTCTTCGTTGCTGCGTTGACCAGTCTAGCTCATAGTTCTGTCTCAATTCAGTTGTTTTGTTACCGCTGTGTTTGTCCTTTGTACGCTAAGAGAGTATCGCCTAAGCAATGGAGGCAATGTCGCAGTCTCCCAGCAGGCAAAATCAAAGTCTCTGTCGGCTAGATGCAGACATAGGTCAAACTGGGATGACTAGATGCTCCAGAGGCCGCGCTACACCTGGCTCCCTGCAGAAGGCCTGTCACCTTTGGGGGTCGAAGAATTGCAGAGGCTGAAAATCCTG